TAGCAGCAATGTTAATAATGGTAATGGTGTAAAGCCTGATTTTAGGACCTTTAAACACTTTGCAGCCATAAGTCTGAAACAGACCTGTGTCATTACCTGTTGCAGTGAGGATCTGAAAAACGTTGTACAGGTATATGAGACATAGAGCTTTCAAACAGTGTCTCAACCGCCATGGTGGTGTGAGGACCAAGTCTGGCACTGACCAAAACTATAAGGCCACAGAGACTCATATGTGGGACTGTGCTTATAAAAGGTTAAATATCCATCATGTGCACCATGCAGGAAATATTTAATTAAACCAATTAACCTCTTTTTTAATGATTGTTTTTTTTTTTTTCAAATTAAAAGATCTCTGACTGCAGTAGAAAATGATATTGAATTGTGTTTTCCAGAGTAACTTAAAGTAACTTAAGTCATAGTTTGGAGGACTCAGATATATTATTCTACCATAATGACTGCAATATGGCAATAAACTTACACAGACTTGAAACTCAAAACCGAACTAAACATTTATGAAAATGAAAATCTAATGATTTTTTCAAGTGCTTTTTCCCACTTGTTCTTTGTTTTCCAGTACTACCAGTACTGTTTTAAAATCAAAAGTTGTTGTCGGGAATATGTAAGTAAAGACATGTTTTAATATACTTTTTTTTGTGTATGATGGATAACATATGTTGTCTTTCACATGTGGTTGACCTGAGAGGCCTCAGTGCCCTGCAGATGAGACTGTTCCATCTTATGTGTTTACATCCTGTCCCTGGCACACAGATGACCTGATGAGTTTCCACTCTCACAAAGGTAATGAATAAAGGGACAACTTGACATGAACTATAGTTACCCACACTTGTTTTCTGCTCCTTTAACTAACAAACAAGCACTATTAGCTGTCATTGTTTTGCCTCTTGTTGGAAGTCTTCCAACTCTCTCACTTTTGCTGCTCGGACACTGACGTACCAGACATTGTAAACTTGGAGTTATTGAATGCTCAAGTTCACAGAGCAAAACTAAAAAAGGCCTGGTACTCACTCTTAATGAACCTTACTAAACTGGTTGTTTTCTTAGTGGTTATTTTTTAATATAGTGTGTACGTGTATTCAATCATTTTTCATCAGTCAGCTGACTACAAGCTTTTCTTCAACAGTGGTGATGGCAACAATGTTTTTGGCCCAAGCTAGGATAATGATGATGATGATGATGATGACAATGAATGCAGCTCTGGCTGCACACCCTCCAACAGAGCAGTCAAAACAGAAGAATAGACCTTCAGGTGTGGATCTGCACTACATCCATCTGCACTGCATAGCTGTTTTCAGACGTGACATCTAGAGGAAGTTCAGAGACTTTCTTCTGTTCTTTCTGTGGACGTAGCCTTTCACACATGCCCAACGCAGGAGGAGATTCTCCACTGAGACTAGGGATGCACTAATCTCACTTTTTCAATCCAGATATGATACCTGAGCTTTGTGTATCGGGCCAGTACCCAATACCCATCACAACCCTCAAAATGATGTGCATTTGGTCATAGTAATATGCCACTGATCAAGCATTTCCTTTATTAAGATTAAGATTCCAATTTTTTGGTCCCACACACAGCATATCAGAAGCGATAAAAGATGTAAAAGCAATGAGCTTCAGCACAGAAATCTGGAGCTCTCAAACATGGGGAAATGTGACCTCTGTATTTAACCCATCCGTGTGAACGGAGCACACACGGAACACACGGAACACAATCTACACAGTGACCACACACTGAACAGTGGGCAGCCATGAAGGCACCCGGGGAGCAAATGGGGGGTTCGGTGCCTTGCTCAAGGGCACCTCAGCAGTGCCCAGGAGGTGAGCTAGCACCTCTCCAACTTCCGTCCATGCTGGACTTGAACCGGCCACCCTCCGGTTCCCAAGCCAAGCACCTATGGACTGCTTCCCCCTAATGGCAGTTGAAATCAAGTCACTGGTGTGTGTTCCTTTAAAGTTTTTTGCGTGGAGCATGGAACTGTGAGGAGTGCAACTCGTGTCCTATCAGTGGACAGTTCAACTTAAAAGACATGGGGCATACGTCAGAGCTCCAGATTTCTGTGCTGAAGCTCATTGCTTTTACATCTTTTAACGCTTCCGATATGTGTTTACACACTTTGTTGTACAGGTTCCAAGTGTTAAAGTAGGCGACGGACAGTAGCCTTTGTTCCGATTAAAAAACAATGAATTCCAGAACCTTCTGTTATTTTTGTGGCTTTCATGCTGTCATTTTGAAGTTTCTCACGTCTTTGCAGTGCATCGGCCAAAGTTACCTGCTTCGTCATGTCTCCTTTTGTTTTGTTCTATATCCAATATTAATATCAGATCTTGCATCCCTAGCTCAGACGTGCTCTAGCAACACAAATCTCTGGAGCATTCAGGTGAGGGGTGGTGCATCGACAGCAGCGTTGACCTGGAAAACCAAAATCTCTCTTGACAGATTTGTCGATGTCTTAGATATTATTTGTGTTTTTTTTAATTTTTGCATCAACACGCGCACTTGTTTGCGATGAATTCTGCAGAGGATCTCCTGTCATGTCGGACTTTCTGCTGACTGTATACAAGGGGGCCCCCTGCAGGAAGTCAGCAGGAAGTCCGGAGGGTCTCTGGTGCATGTCCAAAAGCAGCTTATGACATGACGTTGAGAAAGCAGTATTTTCTTGGTCAAGCTGCAAGGGAGAGAGTGGATAGAGGGCCTTGTGTGATGTAAACTGCTGCGTTAGTGCGAAGCTGCAAGGGTGGGCAGAACATTTGCATCTCAAAGAGCCTCCTTGAGCTCCTCAGCTCATCAGCTTCTATTGAACTTTGCTGCCTGAACATGTGAAGCGGTCCAGTGGGACTGTGGTGCTCATTACACACCAGACAGCATGTCGTGTGGACGTTAGTTACATCTGTCCTGAGGATGGCACCAGAGGAAAGACCTTAACTTTTAGACAACCTAGACTCAGACCTTTTGTGTGTCATAACAGGCATTGAATTATCGTGGGACAGACACATACAGAGAATGGTAACCAAACAGGATGTTTGTAATTACATTTTTTGGGGATTGTTGCTCAGTAGTTTGGTCCCATACGTCATTAGGTGGTGATCAAAAATGAATCGGCCCAGAATAAAGTTGCTCTTTCTTGTGGGTTGAAAACATTTTTTAAAATGCATAAATGTTTGAATCAATGTATCCCTGAAGTTTCACTGGAGTGGTGCATGAAATATTTATCAGATGTAAAATGATCAGTCATGCATCAAGAAATTCAGTAAAACATATATACTTTGGAAATATAAGAAGAATAGACAATTTTTGATTTAATATTTCCATTTTAAACACGAACATTAAAAGCTGTCAATCGCAGCAGTCAGTTCGCTGTCTTTCATTTTTACTGTTGTTTAAAAAACCATCACATTTAAAAGGTTGATTTCCACAAGTTTTCACTTCTGACTGGACAGTGACAGGTGTCGTCAAAGATGCCAACTCATTGCAATGCGTGCACACACGCACAACTACTCAACGAGCGAGTGAACAAGCAAGAGGTATTGATTCCATTCATGTGCTAATAAGATAATCTTGCAGTCACAGTTGTGGTGTTTTCATGTCTTTCACTTAGGAGAGGCTTTTTTCTGGCCTTTTTACCATGAAGCTCAGTTTAAAGTTTCTCTTGTTTCCACACAGGATCTCTGCAGCTCAGACAGACTGGCCAACAGGTTCTTGATCACCTCGGTTAATGAGATCCTTGGTCCGTTAGGTGACCAGCTCTACACAGATTTTTGGTTTAAGAACACTGGAGGCCATTGAGCCTTTGATGCCACAGACATAGCCTTCTCCAGATCTGTTCCCCACAACACAGTCCTGTCTCTGAGCTCTGCAACTTCTTCACCTCATGGCTTAGTTTATCCTCTGATAGGTATGTAAGTATATATATATATATATATATATATATATATATATACCGTTGCTGTCAGTGTTAGTTAACTACTCAAGTTCTGCAACCAACATTTTCCCTCTTCGGATAAAAAGAGGTTGTATTTTAGCATCAGGTGCTCACGGAGTAAAGACCAAACCAAGCCCTCTGTTCTCTGCACTGCTCGGGGACTCTTCTTTAATGAAGAAGCTCTCTGGAGAATTGAGGCAGCAGGAAGAGACATGTGCTGAACTCAGCTTGATTGCTTTCATTTCACTCTTCATCTGTCAGGGGAGTCCGGATGCCCTGAGAGGCGAGTGAGGAAAAAAAGATCCAGGTGATTCATCTAGTAAGAGAATAATGTTCTCTCTTGGGTTTAAGACTCAAGAAAAGTATCATCTTTCAACAAGTTTGTTTTCACCTATAAAACGGGTGAAAAAAAGTCTTGGCGGGATGTTTGTGTTTGTTATTGTAGCAATTGTTGGAGCTTCTTACTTCCTGTACAAATAGTTGAACATCACTAGTTTTGTTTAATATAGCTATTTAGATTATGTCTGTAGAATTATTATATAAGTTACTTTTGGTAGTTTATGCTTTTGTTTTGAAGGTACTGGGCACCCGGTGATTTTGGCTTGGTGGGCATAGGCACTGGGAAGGGTTCATGATTTCTTACCAGGGCAAGAGAGACAGCAGACACCATTGCCTTTTGATTTGTTTGCTTGCAATAATGGAGAAATAAAAAACACAATAGCCATATTATTTCCTGTGTGCGATTCACTCCTCAGGTGCTTCAGAGACTTACATTTTGAAAAAACTAAAACTTTTATTTTTTATTATTTTGCTTTTTTAATCAAGTTCAAGGACAAATCGTCATTCTGGCCACAAATGAACATTTTAACATTAGAAACTTAATTTTATTTGTTGCTTATCAGACCAAGATAAAATGAAAAATAAACTATTTTCCATCCTTGAAATGTCGGATAAAAAAGTGGAAAATTGAATAAAGTTTTTGTTTCTGGTGTATGCTGCCTGAGGGCGGGGTCTGGGCCTAATTCAACTTACTTCTGATCGGTTGGTGTGGACTACCTCCGATAATGGGGTTCAGTATCTTGGCCAAGGACACTTTGACACACAGAGGTAGTGGTTATCACAGTATACCCTGGCCTCTGGTGCAACATTATGATTGACAGCTGAGACTGACTCATTGACTGTGGAGAGTCTGCAGAGCTCAGGTCATGAAAACACCAGGCTGCTAATTGATGCTGTCGTCTCTGCCAAGAAAAATAGCTTATGACACCGTCTAACACCTGGAATGAATAAAATGGAGCGAACCCTGCGAGTTAGTTCCGACAGTCAACTCGAACTACACTGCTCCAATCATGTGACACACATCATGTGACATACCTTATTCTTCACAATCATCTATTATACACCTTATTAGGCAGCCTAGTTGAGCAGAGAGAAATTTCCCATCAACCCCTTTGCTCGCACTGCTGCTGCAGTATCGCTACCAGTTGCTTCAGCCCCTCCACCACCCCAGCATCCACCTGTAGGCTCAGACGGGGGGGTTGCAGGTATCTGCTTGTCACTCCCATCATATCTATGTAATCATATCGGGGGAGTGATATGAGTCGGAGCCTAGACGCCAAACACTAACCTGTTCTACAATAAACATTTGAACGTGAGTTGTCCGACTGAACTGTATTAATTTCAGGAACAATGTTTACGATGATAACACCACCACTTGTTAGACAATATGAATGTCACAGGTTAAACCAACAAACTGCTGTGATTCCTCATATCAGCTATAATTGACTTGATGACAGGTTTAAATGAAACATGCTTTCGTTGGTTTGAGTGCTCTGCACACTCTTTTTAAAGATAGGTTGTGAGTGAAGGGCTGCCACTCTGTCACACCTCAAGTGTGTCTGCAGTTCTAACATAATGTTACATCTTAGCATCTCGCTCCATAAGCCTACAGATGTCAGAGTAGTTAACAATAACTTTTAGTATTGGCAACAAGATGTTAGGATCCATGGACTGTCCCATTTTGGCTTCTGGTTACTGACTCCTGCCGGTTATTCAGTTCACTTATCATGAATCTGCTGATCAATCAACTTGTCAGCTGTCAGTACTTACTGTGCGTTCAGGTGGTGTCGGAATAATCGGAAACATTTGTTCCTGACGGGGAAGATTTTCTATCCAATCTTTCAGTCACAGTGTGGAAATGTCAAAGTCAACTCACCCACATAGCAAAATTGTTTTGGTCCAGATTTCCCCAACTTTGTCACACTGCCACAGTCATATGGCCCACATACTGCATTATGGCTCTTGGTTGGTGTGCATCTGTTTGGCAGAAATAAGCCATAGCCTTATTATTTGGGACATATTCACATTTACCACAAGGGCCACTTTAAGTTCACACATAAATTGCTCCTTGCATATAGCACAGCATGTACAAAACAGGTCCATAGAGTATGTGCAGTAGCAATGGTGTGGAGCTGCAGTGTGGAAGTCCCGCTGATTCACTCGACCAATCGTGAGTCGGCTTCAGCTGTCAGTCATCGTGTTTCAGCCCTTTGTTATCGCATCAAATAACTAGAAAAACCCAAATGTGTATCCTGGACTAATTAACACTTGAACACATTACTGTGATAAGATCTACCTGAAATGACAGAAACCATATTGGAGAAAGATATATTTGCGTGTACTTGGAACTTTTTAGTTTGTTCCATGTCACATCCACTAACATGGAGGAGTGAAAATGAAGCAATGAGATAACTTTAGAGGGAAACATCTCTGTGTGGAGGATCTGTTACCAGCTGTTTGTAACAGGTCAGAGATCCAACATTTTGAATTGTTTGATTTTGATGATAGTTTGATTTCCAACAATGTGTAATACTTTAAAAGTACAATTATCAACTTTAAAATAACTACAGTAGTTACTAGATGTCATGTAAGTGTAGTGGAGTACAAGTCAAAAGTTGCATAAAATCAAAATACATAAAGTACAAGTTCTTCAAATTTATAGGTACAGTGCTTCACTAAATGTACTTATAATTTTCCCTCTGTCAGCTCTCATAACCAGCACAAAAATATTGCAGAACAGTTAAATCAGCAAACCACTTGTTAGTCCAGATGTTGAGTCTTAACTGTGTACAATGGTAAAAACATTTACAACCAATCTTTTCTAATGCTGAACATGTGAATCCACAACATTAAATCTTCACTTCAGCCATGAACACAGCTCACATTTCAGCTTCTGTAGGGTGAGCATCCAGTGCAGGGATTCTTTCAGTGGCTTTTCCTCCACAAACATCCTGATGATCACTAACAAGCTTTGAGAGTTGGACACGTGTAAATGATCACATGAGATGACATGATATTTAATTCAAATTACAGTGAATTCTTCACAAGTTAAAGGAACTGGATTTGTTTAGAGGTACGATTCAGTTCATTCCGGTGGAAAGTGCTCATGTTTGAAAGTAAAATATGGCTTTATGATTTGTTATTAAAATATAATTGTTCATCTTTAATTTACAATACAAAATATCAATAATCAATAAAATAGATAAAATAATCTGAAATTTGAGAGATGATCTTGAAACAATATTTAAATCTCTTCATTTAGAGAGGGACCACACTGTGTTTTCCATCAGAGGGGCAGTTTGTCGCGGAGGGGGATCTTCTTTTTCAGAGCCAGCGTGGAGTTGACTTGCTTGGCCGACAGCAGGCTGTGCCACTGAGCGACCGGCCGCCGCGGGTTGGACAACATGTCGGCCCAGTGTCTCAGCTGGTTCCCTGTGGCATCGCAGCCCAGGAATATCTTACCCATGGCGTCGTTTCGGGTCATGGCATCGTGGTCCCACACGGAGATGACCAGGTTCACCCTCTGAGGATGACATGAAAACTCTGAGTCAGAACAGAAATAGATGCAAGACTTTTTTGGATCCAGTTCAGTAACACATTTTCACATTTCTCTCCAGTGTTTTCAGTCCAGCCATTTGTTCAGGTTAAGCCACTGCCCTTATGGAAGATTTAAAATGCCAAATTGAATAAATCCTTGTTCAAAATGGATAGAATGTTTGATTATGTTATGTGTTAATGTAAAAATGTATTTTTGAAACCTCCTAAATACAGTTATTCGTTTTAGGCTGTTTCTTATCTGATGACTCTCACCTGGATTTGTTGAAATGACACATCGAAGGTGAAGGATTCGTTGTAATACGGGTTCAGCGTCTTCTTTTTAATGGACGTCTTCCTTTTCTTCCACTTCCTCTTGTCCAGAGCCAGCTGCAGCTTCACATATGGATCTGCAAATAACAGGTGGAATAAAACCACTCAGATGTCATTTTACTCTCACAGTATATTTCCATACACAACATTTTTTAATCTGCAGAAAAAAACAATGAAATGAAGTTAAATTTGTTGAAAAAGATTACATACGACAAAAAAGTCATTTTTGTGATGGAAAAGTAGCCTGACAAAAGAAAACAGAAAATGTATAAAAAATTTAAACCTGCAAATACAAGGTCACAATGACAAGAATGAATTTAAAAACTAAAAGTGTATTGTCTAAAACTCTTTAAAAATCTGTTAATTGACATCGGGTATCTTGATTCACTTAATAAATACTGTCAGATAGAAACATTCCTCTATGGAAGTCAGAAAACATTCTTTTTTATAAAGTCTTGAAAAAAATAAACTTTAGATTTTCCTGAGGAAAGATCAGAATCTCACTTTTGATTTCTGCTTAACCTTTTAATGTTTACAATTAACTAATTCTATTATTATTATTATTATTATTATCATTATTATTTAAGAATATATGTCTCACTAAAAAGCTGTTAGAGCAAAAAATTAGAACAAAGTTGCAGTCACAGCCTCATCTGAAGATTATGTACTGATCTTGTCCGACCTGTTTTTTGCACTTGAACAAACAGAACTTTTGAACTTGTTATAATACACAAATTATTTAAATTGAGTTTCTGATTACACAAAACATTTTTTGTCTTTAAGGAATAACGATCTTCAAAAAGTTAATAATTCGAGATCACAGCTCACAGCTCTTGTAGCGCTACGATTTTTCTCTCGTTGGTCTGTCATAGTGCCTCCGTGGACATCCAACATGAGCAGCAACATTCTGACCCCGTGCAGAAATACGGTAATACATAACCAAACATCTGTGAAACCTCTGATGCGTGTGAATGATTTCAATATGAGCTGTGCTAGCCTGACCTGAGAATCCTCCCAAGTCCATGTACTTCAGGTTTTTGGCCTCCAGGATCACCACAGTCAGTTTGCCAACAGTGGGAACGTAGCGCAGAGAGAAACAGATCTCTCCCAGCTCTTCCTCCTGCAGCACACAGGTAAGACAATTGTTACAACTAGATGAAAAAAATCTGATAAATAATATGAGTAACTCTTTTTGGGAATCACATAAAATAAAACAATATCTACAAATACCAAAAAGCAATGAAGTAACATCATAGATGCAATTTGTTTCTTAACAACTCTCCTCAAAAAGTTGATATTCTTACCTTGTGGCTTATGGTCACACTGCCCCCCCTCTTTTTTCGATTGTACAGTCAGTTTTATCCGTAAACTTTCAGAAGACTCAATATTTGCTTAATATATTTTTTACAATTTATTGTTTAATGTGCATTATCTCACTTCGACATTAGGTCTTTGAGATAAATGTTTTCATTTGCATTAGCTTGTGTCAAATGAATGTATGTTGAGCCAGTATAAAAGCTCCGCCCACTGACCAACCAATTCCTTTGAAACATGACATCAGCGTTCTTAGAGGATCCCATGGAGCTGCATGTGGATTGTTGGAGTCTCTGAGGAGATTTTGTTGGTCTTCAGAGACCGACCAAATCCTTTCGCATACTCTGATGAGTCTTTATGAAATATATAGATCCTCATCGGAGGGAATGATAAACCTTTGTCAGCTGCTGGAGTTATGTGATTAAGTGAAAAGTTTCATCACACAATCATTCACCAGCTGCCCTTCCTGCATTGAGCAACTGTTGTCCGGACAATGTTCTCCTCCTAGTTTTATAATATATCAGTTTGCTCCTCTCAGTCAAACTTGTGTGTGATTGGTCATATGCAGTAAACCCCGCCCCTTCCATGTGCACCCGTTCGGATCTTGATGAGGCAAACCTAGGTTGACTAAATGAGTTGATAACCAGCGTCATGTGACCACTTAGCCTGATGGCGATTGTTAGGTCAAGTTTACCCGGATATCAGAAAGATATCTTGGGTATGTTGAATTCCCTTCGTAGTACAGAACCCAGGTGTGTATATATGGCACATGCTTATTTTATTATGTTGTTGTTGCTGTTGTCATGTTTGTCATAGTATTAGATATTCATGATCCCCAGAGGATGAGTCCTACTGACAATGTCATCCACTTTTTAAACATAGAGCTCAAAGCCCGACTGTGCCTGAGTACAGTCTCACAGTGCTGCTGGTGTATCTGTACACTCAGTCTTATTTTGTGGTGGCTCAGTTTTGCTCTTCTACCTCAAACTTGGCAGGTTCACCGAGATCCTGCCACTCCTCGATGACGTGGTGCCAGTCGACATTGCAGAGCTCCACGCTGACCTCACCAATAATGTTGTGTTTGGTGAATCTATTGAAATCGAACACCTTCATCACTACAGTCGACTTCAGGAGGGAGGACTTGGATATCTGGGAAAAGATCGCGCTGGTCAAAAACACAAGATATTTTGATCCACATAACATTGTGACTTGTAAAAACATGAATTAGTGAAATCTTCTTTTCTCTAATCAATGTAATGGAAATTGTTGAATATCCCTGAAACACAAAAGAACAGGGATCAGGTTCAGGGAGTACACCATAAGAATTTAACTGTATATACAGTATATAAACAGTATGTAAACTTCCAACTACAAGCCTCTATAAATGGAGTAATAATACATATCTGTTAGTGAGGTTATAATAAAGATTAGCAGTATATACTGTGGTGTATTTTCATCAGCCATCTTTAAACTTGTAGAAAAATTCCAACCAAAACAAACCACAGCCACTTCTGACCTGGAAGTTGAACTGTTCGTTGAAGACGGGGTTCAGTGTGTTTTTGAACACTTTGGTCTCACAGGTTTTGGATTTTTCGGGGCAGATGTAGACTTTGATGTATGGGTCCGAGCTTCCTCCCACGTCCATGGCCTTCAAACCATTGGCTTGTTTAATCCCAACTGTGAGCTGTAAAAACCAGCAGACAACAGACGGGTAATGACCTTTTTACTCCATCACAGTGAGTTTCCTGGGCTTCCTATTCATAACTGCTGTGTACGTTCAAAATGGGTCTGGAAACATGCAAATGGCACATTCAGCTGAAACAATGGGGTTTAAAAGATAAACCTGAGGAGAGATCATGTGTGTGAACATTCACACCGATTCTGAAGTGGGGAAGTAAAGTTTTTAAAATGATGTATTATGTGTATTCATAATGTATATATTTTTAATAATCACAGGTTTAATTTTACTCCTTTTTAAAGGTATGATTATACAATATGACCCCAAAGCTGATATACATTTAGGCCAATACTCTTACATTTTGTTAGAGCTTGTCAAACATTGAAAAAGAGCTTATGTTTTCAGCCCAGTCTGTTTGTTTGTAGGCAAGATTACATGAAAAACATTAAGATTCCCATTAAAATTTGCTGGAAGGATGCATCTGGGGAGAACCCACTGAATTTGTGTGCAGTGTGTTGATCGCTTAAAAAAAAAGATACATTTCCACCATTTTCCGAGGGAATAATTTCATAGATCTTGATGAAAAAAAATCTGAGTGCCATTCTAGTTCCTCGTGGTTTTAAAGGTGCCATTTGTAAATTTTGCTATTGCTGTGCAGCTAACATAAGCATTAGCAGGTGTTTACTTTACAATCTAGAAGAGATGTTACAAATTGAACATCAAACTTTATTCACCAGGTCTCCAGCGATTGAAAAGCAGTGCCAATATAAATTATCAAAAACATGATATAATGGCAGCATATGACAGCTTTACATCAACACTATTGTGAAATGTGCTAGTCTCAGAGCAGCACTGAAGAAAGACGGTCATAATCTCTGTGCTCCATCTCACAGGCTGCAGCTACATGAGAAGTTTCAGGTTGAGAACCACTAGGTTTATGCATATCTTTCTTTGCTGCATTTAGTGTTGTTATAAACATTACCAATGCACTTAAATGGTATTTGGAAAAGCCAGTTGCCTATTTGCACATGCACAACTCCTGAAGTCCATGTAAGTCCAACAACATAATGAGAGCAATGATAACTTGGTTCAGTGCTCCTTTACAGAGGACAGTGGTGGGACTGGCTGGTCAAAGATTCATTACCTCAGACAGAGCGGCGTTGTACTCCAGAGAGTAGAGCAGCTTCCCTCTCTGCTGTTTGGTAGAGCCGTATTCCACATCTCCCACATCTGGCTGAACCTGTCAGGCACAGGAAAAACATTGGGTCAGATCCTCTGAGCAAACAAGAATACTGGTCAGAGCCGACACAAGACTTTCTCAGGGGCTATAAGAAGAGTGATTTACTCTGTCCTTTCAAATAAATAGCAATTAAAGGTCCAGTGTATAAGATTTAGGTGAAAAGGATCTATTGGCAGAAATTTAATGTAGAATAATTGTCATGATGTTTTCACTTGTTCATTTCATCTAAATTAAATGAATTGTAGTTTTCTTTACCCCAGAAAAGGTCCTTTATATTTAAATACTTTATATTTACATTGAGGGGACCCTCTCTACGGAGGCTGCCATGTTTTTTTCATTAGTCCAGACTGGACAAACTAAATACCTTTTGAGTTTTTATGACAATTAAAGGCTTCCACAGGTTCTTTTTCATGTTTGGAAGGAGAGGGTGAGGTGAGGGGTGTTCAGCTGCAACATGAAACTTCAACACTAGATATCACATAATTCTACACACTGAACCTTTAAGGGACATATATGGAAGCAAAGCTTTAATGTCCTAAAAGTACCTTTATCTCTGATTTCTGTCAAACATCAGTCACTGATTTGTTTAGCCACATGTTCTGACACAGTTGTCAGTACTTCATATGTTGATATTCCAAATTGGCTTATTTTCACATTCTATTTTCAGAAATTATGTGGCTCTTTAAGTTAAATGTACTGTCTGCATACAGCACTTCCTAGTCTTATCAACCACTGAAAGTGTTTACAGTACAAGTCAAATTCACACAACACCTCTACACACACTTTATCAGACACCACCAGGAGCAACTTAGTGTTCCTTGTTGTGCCCATGGACACTGGCATGCAGAATTCAGGAGCCGGGGATTGAACCATTGCCCTTCTGGTTAGTGGTTGACCCGCTCAACCTGCTGAGCCAACCACAATGCCGCACTCACCAGCTGCTCTCTTGACTGTTTCTGTATGCTGTTTGCTAGCGTAGAGTGGCTTTTTACAGCTTCTTCTTCGCAAACAGCTTCCTGCGGTGGTTAGAAACAACAAGCAGAAATTCTAACTAAAAAGCTCAATTTATTTACATTTTGCTTTGCAGAAATAGCACCTTTCCTTTCACACTGGTGAAAGACGGAGTTACAGTAGTGATCCAGGCACATCCCAGCACTGACTGGTCATTATGGGAGGCGCTCTCACTGCAGATTTCGCCCAGTGAGAGACTCAGATCCATATTGACTCACCAGAGCTGTGGTGGTGGTCCCATTCACCCCCAACATTTTGATCTTGTCATCCTTCCGATTTCGCTTCTTCTTGTCTTTGCAGCAACACTTCACGCAGATGCACAGACAGCAGATCAGAATCAGCAGAGCACCACTCGCAGCGATGGTGTAGATCGCCCATCGAGGCACTGCCCAAGACCAGCAAGACACACAGTTAGTCAGGTGTGATATCAACTGTGTCATACACAAGACACCACATCCTACTGTTGCATTAAATGAGAGGTTCATAATGTCGCAAGTCTTAAAACAATCAGATTGTTGCAATTGGTGACCCTTTAGAAGGACCCGACCCCTGGGCTGGGAATCACTGAACTAAACAATCTAACTGTATATGATAAAGCTCCACATAGAGCAGCTAAATCAGTGAAATACTGATGAAGCATTTCATTGATTGCAACTTTGAACTATTACTTGGCTTCTATATTTCAAACTCTACTCCACTACATGTATTTAACATATTCAGATTAATAATACAAACATATAATAAAGAATTAATAATGACTAATTACGAAAAAAAGTTTACAATTTTAAATAAAGGATCTGATCTGAGAGCTAACACAGATGCTACATAAGCTTTTTATTAGATTGGATTAGCTGCTGTTTGTCAACTTACAGGGAATCTTGTCCAGCACGTCATTGATGAAGTCTTCAGCAGCGGCAGCTGCTGGATCGATGGTGGTGTTAGTGTAGGTGTTGTTGGTGGGGATGATGGTGGCGGGGTGAACTTTCTCAGACAGTTCTGTCTTGAATGATACATTATGGTGAGTTGAGTATGGTGTTGGTTTTGGGGTGGTACTCATGTTGAAATGGAAGTGGAGCTGTAGAAACAAGAGAGTAGTGTCACACATTACTGATCAACAAGCTGGGAGGAAGAGGACTGAAGCAAGTATACACGGATAGAAACACTGCACAGAAAATACTTCAGGTATAAATAAGTCCAGTATATCTAAACCGTGGCCTTATTTTCTCATCTTTTTGGACTCTAAATGATTGAAAGGATGAATAGGAACAGAAATCTTTGGAATAAATCCATTGAGTGAGAATGCTGCAACCTCCAACTGTGAAATGGCTACAGTGTAATCCAACTGGAGATTTGATCATGTCTAAGTTCATCATCATGTGTTTCTTTAGGTGGATGTTGACTCATATACTTAGTTACTGTACCTATTGTTTGTTTGTTTGTTTATTTGTTGAAATCCTCTACATCCTGATCGCCATCAACAAATAAAATTGCCTGGAAAAAAATGCTGGTGTCTGTGGACCTCACAGGACTGAATGTAATGTTTGGTTAGCACACCTCTCTGTCACTGACTGACTTGCTCGCGTGTGTACAGCGTGCCTGTGCTCTCACTGCGCATGACCAGAGTCTTAATCAGAAGGTAACGAGCGAGTCACAGAAAAGTTTACTTTTTTTAGCTGACAGGGCTGATAGGACGGGCTGAGCTACACTGGTTGTATTTTATAAGTATAAGTATGTATTGTATTGTTGTATTTATAAGTGTGGCCTGCTCTTACTGGCTTTTCCAAGAATACCAACCCTAGCAAAGTGTAAAGCTTTTTCGGTGGCAACATTCTTTATTAGTATGAGTCTGTATTATTCTAGTATTCAACACAACATGCATTAGACACAGTTAATGATGTACCCAATAGCTCCATTAGGGAATAGGCTACAGTCTGCAAGAACTTTAAGTTTTAAAAGTTCAGGTAGAGGGAATTCAGGTGATCTGAGAGAGTGGGTAATGTGGGACACTAAGAAAACTGTGTCATTCCTCTTCTAGGTTTGACATCTCCATCCCTTCTTCTGGTGTGTTTAGACACATGCTAAATGTATAAAATGTAGATGTTATGTGCAAAACAGATATTGGAATAATATTGGAATAAATCGTACAAGTCAAAATTGCAAACATGTCCCAGATTATCTGAATTCACCCTATATTTAAAATCAAGTACCAACTTATTTTTACTCAAGTAGGAGCATTCACTTTTACTTTAGTTCAGCTTGGTCTGTTTATTAGAACTTTTTACTCAAGTACTTGTTTTGGTCAGGAAGTAGTTGCTAGGCGGAGGGATACTCACCATCTTGTCCTACAATCTAAACATCATGCTGGATAAATAAGGAGCCAAGCCAACCTGATGCACATGTGGTAAAATAATACCTCAGATACCAGAAGGAACCTTAACCACAATGTTTTAAATTCAACCCACATAACTGAAGATTTCACAACTGAGGCTGAGGCAGGTCATCTATTGTGATGTTTGAAGAGATGAAACACCACTGGATTGATAAAACGAAATAGATATTTTTATAAAAACCATAAAACCATTCACTGCCCGCTCAGTAAACTAAACTGGAGATTTGGAGACGTCCTAACAACAGTGACGTAAACAGTCAAACAAACATTATAAAACAGTATGGTCGTCAACCTACTGCTGACATGACTGAGTAGAATTCCAACCTGCAGGCCTCCACCATGAACAAACAGCAGTAGCACATTAACCCGCAGTCTGATAACAATCCATTCAAATATGTTCACAGGCCTGAAAGCAAATGTGCACATAACATCCCCACTGACACCAAACCTGAACCAACCTGGGTCTCTATTTGACAAAAAGATCCCACAATGTTCTCATCCATTTCTACTGGATTGTGCAACACATCACATTGAAACATGTTTACAGATTTATCCTCATTAGACTGAATTTCTCTCAGCACAAACTTTTCCATTTTCAGATCCAGATGTGTCCAGGCCTCATCTCAGCCAGACTCGTGGTAAAACACACACTGGATAGAAAAATGGATCACATGAGAACTTCCAAACATGACACCAAATAATCTTCATCATCCTCTGATGGTTGGCTGATGTATAGGTCATAAACCCTGCCTCCTCAATGTTAGTGGATGGGACAGACAACAATAGGTTCTGTCCTTTTAGGTCATTCTTATCACGACAGCACAGACTCTTTAAGTGATGACGTGTCTTCTATCTTTTTATTAGCTCTGCGGGTAAAATGCTTCAACAGAACCTGAAACAAGCCTTGAAATATGTCCACACCTGTTTTTAGTTGTATGAAAAAAAAAGGTTATAAACAAATATTGTCATTGCTTCTAGCAAAGACAACAGGGTCAGTATCGCTTGTAATTGATAATTCAGGTTGTGTTTTACATTGGTAGTCAAGGCTAACGAAAGAGGCTCATGTGATAAGAGCCTGACGAATCAGCAAATTGTCTTTACCTATAAATGTTAAAAAAGCATTAATCCTCTTCATAAAAAACAGGGTTTTGCCGGAAATTGAGCCAAAGACCCATGTCACAGATTGAAGCTCTTATACTCACTGATGAGGACTTTTCACATTCCTGCTCGCTCCAGACTGGTGGAAACTGAACTGTTTCTGTGCTGCTCAGAATAAAATGAAGAGGAAGGAAGTAAAGTCTAATGGAGTGACCATGTTTACCTCAAAAACAACACAAAGCGTTTGATCAGAGAGAGGAAACGCCTCCTCCCTCCCTCTACATTTAGTCAGTTTTCACTGTAATCAGGAGCGAAACATCGTCATCGCTCCAACAGAGTCCGGTCTCTTTCCAAACATCTGCTTGTCTACTTTAACAGTGAAAGTGGTCTGTGACAAAATCAAGTTCACAACCTGTTCTCCAGAGGCACAAAAAATCTTCGTTCTAAATCTGGGAGCATCAGATTTATTCTTTTTTCAGTTCATTGCTGGGCCGTATGGTGTTTACTATCAGTAAAGTCTACTATATGGATTATAACTATAAATTAATCCATTAATGAAAATAAGCAGTTTTAATTAAAGAATAATAGAATGAATAGTTGGCCAGAGCAGTTGTACTGATTGTAAAAATATGCTGTGGGTGAGTCTACAACACAGTTAATTGAAAGCCTGGTGCATCTCTTTCAGTGCCTGACATCAAGGGATGCAACAAAGCGGCTAAATTTGAAGCTACCGCAGTGAGAACCGGTGGGAATTCTGTCCTGCCACGACCAAACCTCAGAAATGAAGCTGCTGTCAGTCCATAGAAAAGTACGTAGTTTTCCTCACTGACATTTCCACTCCCATGCCTGTCAGATGAATGTTCCGTGACGCAGCCGTTACATGTTCCACCTCACAGTACATCAGCTCGTGTTCAGATCGTGCGATAAATGAAGCACGGTTTTATGTAAGGAGCGGTGCACAGAGGGAGATCCTTCACTGCTCGTTCACAGAATGAATCTTCAGACACTTTAGCCACCTCTTACAGACTGAACTCTAAAGCCCCTTTTCCACTGGTCAAGATACCCACCAAAACACTAACATCTGGTGTTTGTCTGCAATGAGAATGGATTCATTTCCACTATTCACTTCCAGGCCAAATGACTCTTCAGTAGACACGGGTTTTAATCGGGTGCTGCGGCTCTGAGCGCCAGTGAACGGAAACGAGACACTTGAGTGAACGTGCTAATTTGACAAGACAGTGAGGTGAGAGAGCACCTCAGTTTGTGACATCAACATGACACACCACAAAAAATAACAGGAAGTGAAGTCAAGGTAAAGTCAGGGTATGTCCAAAGTAAGTGAGATTCATCTGAGTTAAGGTAGCATTAATTAATATTATATTATATTATTACTATGGGAACCAAATGTCCTTTGACTGCCATGACAGTACAAACACACAGTGTATAGTCTGTTGACATACTCATCAAACTAACTAAACTAATCAAACTGCCAAAACCAGCAGAGACTAGAGCTTCTGAAATATACTGAAGTCCTGAAGTAAATGTCATTTGTTTCCTCTGCTGCTGCTTCATGAAGGTGCAGATTCTGCAGCAGATTCAAGTTTATAGTTCTTTAATAAATAAATGTGGCTGGAAAACAAGTTTGATTAATTTGCAAACAAGTTGTTAAGGTTAGTTGCACATAAATACACATAAAAACAAGACAGAAGCAAAATAAATAAATACAAAGAAGTTAAAGAGATAAGATTGAGGAAAGAAATATGATAGAAGAAAGGGACAAATAATAAGCAAGACAAAGGAAAAGGGGAGCAAATGAGGGGAAAAGGAAGGCATGGCAACAAAATTAGTAAAAAGAATGTGACAAAGACAAACAAGTAAAATGAAGAAAGGATTAAGGGTTGACGAAAGAAAGAAGATGAGAGAAAAGAGGAAGAAGGGGGAAGGGAAGAAAGAAATATGAAAGGGAGCATGAGAAAGAAACTAAATTAATGGAGAGAGAGTAAAAAGGATGGATAAAGGGAACAAAATAGGGAATGCATGAGGAAAGAGGAAAAGTGAGGAAGTGAAGAAAGAGGCACAAAGAAAAAGAGTAATGAGAAGGGAAGAAATGCTGAGACAGAACAGTGAGCAGAAGAAAAATGGGAAACAGCTAAAAGGACAGGACCTTAGAAAACAACAAAGAAAGACAAACAGACGAGTGGGATTGTTATTGAAAGAGTGAAAGTGGCAGCTTGGTGTTTTTTTTAGGGATTTAACAACAAAGAGAACAAATGTTAACTCAAACACAGAATATTTTCCCATCAAGAGACGGAAAAGGTTTAACTGTGGAATGAACGATACAGTTTGACTTTTTACATCTTACATGTTTTTCTCCTGAAAGAAACAAGCAGGTATAAATGAATGTGTGACTCTGGACATAAATAATAAACAGAAAACCAAAGTAAGAGCAACAGTACCTGAGATGAGACGAGGAGACTTTCTGTCCAAAACTGTTCTTTCCTTTTATTTAAATTTCATTTCTTCTCCGTTTGTTCAGGCGGCTGTGGAGCGTGAGCTGTTTTCTGTGCTGCTTAACATCAGTCAGCCATCTTCAACTCTGCGAGTCGGTTAGTTTCGGGCCTGCAGCAGCCACCACACCTGCAGAACACACACACTAACACACACACGCAGAGTTAACCTGTGTAGTCAGTGTTCAAACAGAGGTGGAGTCTTTGCTGCTAAAATAGCAGTTATTCAAATACAGTGTGTGTCAGAGCTGAAAGTTCATAAGAAAAGAATTAAGATTATTGAAGGAGCAGTCAAATCTTACAGGTTAAGCAGCGGCTTATAGCATCTCTAATTTTTCTTATCTTTTAATCCCTGTTGTTTTAGCATATCAAGTGGCCATGATAGTTTAGCTGATAGTTTGCAGATGATCTTGCTGCTCTCTCCTCAAAAACACAACAGCTGCAGAAGAAAACTCACAGGCTGAATACCTTCGCCAAAACAGCAGGTCTAAACATCAGCACCTCCAAACCAAAGTGAAGTGCAGAAACAGTGGCCCAAGCAACGGATGCCTCAGGAAAAAAGACCATGTCCAAGATTGCAAATGAAGAACTTTACAAGCAGACTAGAGCCAAAGTGTGGCACTAGAGATCAGACATCCTCAGAATGGACCATAGCCACATACGCCACCTGAAAAATGCAAACAAGGTCAGTTGTAAACATTCTGACGAACTGTGACGGGTGAACATAAAGATTCTCCATCACCTGGGTCAAATGGAAATCATCTGAATGGACCACAATATCATTTTGAGCAGATTTTCATGATTCCCAGAAGATTGATCAGTGATGTTAAGAGTTATTAAAAAAATATCTTTATAACCTCCTTAGAATTCTTTTTAAAATTGATATTCAATAGGAACTAATTATTTATGCCATAATGAATATTTAGTTGATTTTACTTTTAATTTTCTCAAACTTTCTCCTGTAAAATCTTCTGAAACTTGACCTACAGACAGTGGAAGTCACCACGAACAAGTGTGAAGTAAAAATTCTTTGTCACATCATGAGGATTTAAAAAATTATATTTAATAAGAGCAAGTTATTTAGGCATGTCGAAAAGTTGGGGGTCTGATTAACAACAATCAGGGCCTACATGGAAGACATGACAACCCTGACCACAACAGTACCATGAACCAGATGGTTGCTGCTATTATTATACTACTTCTGTGACAATTCTGCAACTTACAACCAAACGCTTCCTGTGTACGTGGGCGTGTGCAGGCCCAGTGTACGAGTGGTCACATGGTGTGTGTTTTCAGGAGAGTCATCATGGACAGGGAATAAAACTGATACAGAGTCAGAACACTGGTGTGGACAGAGATGTTTTAGTTTAAAAACACAATTTTCACTTGAAAGCATATGGATGTCACCTCAAATGACCTGTTTCCTTCTTCCTGAGCTCTTCTGTTTTTATATGATCAGCTTTAATCATATCATATTTAATCTTTTATTTCTTTTTTTAGGACACTTGGACCCCTCACCTCCTTACTGTTGATCAGACACAACACTGGTGACCCAGGCACCTCAATGACCACACTCTGAAGACTTGTACATCATTGTGTGAAGGAGAATTCCTTGATTTCACCATTCTTATGTGCAAAAATGTGATAGTTGAAGTTAGAGGACAAAGCAGCAGCAGCAGCACAGTGTTTATGTCTTAGTTCCCCCCTAAACCCCACACTCTCACACACACGCACCTGCTATTTATAGGTGTCACCTGTTCCAGTGTATTTAAAATGCTCCATTCCACTGCACTGTCACTGCTCACATTGTCCACAGATGACAAACAACAATGAGGCAACCAGTTGTATGAATGTTAATGAAGTCTTTGTACTTGCCTACAGATCTGCTAGTGCCCCCTACAGGTTGCATTGTACATTATAGCTCCAATGACAGTTTTAAGTTTTAGAGAGAGCAAGCAACATATTGATCATTTGATCTATTCTTGGAGTTTTACCAGTGGTGATGCTAAAATGTACAGAGTGGCAAAGTAGCAGTAAAATCTGAAGAGTTCATCAGACAGGCCCACACTGTAGACTGAGTACTAGACTAGGGCCAAATGAAGAAAAAAAAAGTTACAGTAAAACTCAGAGGAAATGTACATAATGTAAATTCACATTCAACCTACAGGCGATTACGAGGGGTGAGTCGTCATATTAAAAGGACAATAAATTAGAACAAAACAAAATAAAACCAACACAAAAAAGAAATAAATACATAAACAAACTGCATAAACTAACAAGTTGGCAGTCAGTTACATTGTCTCTGAGCAGGACAGTGACACATGAGGACATTATGACCATGACAGAAGTAAATGGGAACAATGAGACAGTGAACCGAGTAAAAGAGAGCCACAGTCAGAGCTTCCATACTTGACTGTGGGGCCACATGCAGCATCAGTCCCTTACACCATCTAAACCAGAATGGTGGACCAGAACGACAGGATCCCTTTACTGGGCAGGAAGGCCAGTGAAGGAATCCTGTCATTCTGAAGACGAAATAGCCAATACTCCAGCTCAACCCGGCAGACGAGCTGGTGCTACAGAGTGATGCATCAGAAACTGGACTTGGAGCTACAGAAAGGTAAACCAGTAGCATTTGGGAGTAGGGCAATTACACCTAGAGAGAGGGGCTGCGTCTAAATTGAGAAGGAGCGCTTAGCCATTGTGTTTGGGATGGAAAAGATTCATCAGTACACCTATGGCAGAAAAGTATCAGTACAGAGTGACCATGAGCTGGAAAATATACACAGGAGGCCACTATTTAATGCACCAAAGAGACCGTAGAAGTATGACCTCAGCATCATCTGTGTACCAAGCTGAAACATGCTGCTGGCAGACACACTAACTAGAGCATACTTACCAGAGAGCACAAAGAGAGACACTGAGACGGAGTCAGACACTGTTATGTGGCTAGTTACTCAATAATTCCTTCTGAGAGACTGAGCTCCAGCCCACCTGCTACAAAAGAGGACACAAAGTTATTGAGAGTGACCGAGATGATTCTGACAGGGTGGCCACAGAGCAAAAGTGACATTCCAACAGACATCACTCACATGTTGGATAGAGGGATGTCTCAGACATGCCAGGGAATGTGTGTACTGGCAAGGGATGAATGAGCACTGTGTAGACTTTCATCTCCGAATGTGACATATGCCGATCAGTAGATCCAAAGCAACAGAGAGAGACACTGCACCCTCATGACATGGTTTACAGACCCTGGGCAAAGGTGGGAACGGATTTGTTTTTCTTTTCAGAACCAGGACTACTTGATAGCTGTCGATTACTATTCCAACTTCTAGGAGATAGATAATCTGCCAGACACAAAGCTGCACAGTAATCAGGAAGCTGAAGGCCCACTTTGCATGACAGGGAATACCAGATGTTGTCATCTCTGATAATGGGCTGCGATACGCTTCTCAGGAGTTTCGACAATTCAGTTAAAGGTGGGAATTTGAACACAGAAAGTCCTCACGTGGATATCCACAATGCAATGGGAAAGCTGAATCAGCGGTAAAACAGCCAAGCGTCTCATGATGAAAGTGAAGGCTGCAGGACAGGATCCATGCTTGGCTAAACTGGACCATCGCATCACACCGAGCCCAGGTCTCAATATGAGCCCAGCACAGAGACTTCTAAGTAGGACAAGGACTCTTCTTCCTACCACAGACAACACACAGGGACTGAGGAACAACAGAGACAGGAGGAATACTACAACCGCACAGCGAAGGACATGGACTCACAAAATATGACAGTGTGAGAGTTCAACCCTTTCAGCCGCATGAGGTCTGGAAATCAGCAAAGGTGATTAAACCTGTGGGTCACAGATCGTATAAGGTGATGCTGGAGTCAGGAGCTGACGACATCTCAGACAGAACCAGGTCACATCCATCACAACGCCACAAACAAAGAATTTGGTACATGCACCAAGAAAGGAACTGGTGACGCAGGGTCCTGCAGGGGAACAACACCCAGTTGTTACCAGGTCAGGTCGCCGGGTTATTGGACCTCACTACCTCAAAGACTGTCAGGACTCAGGCACGGACTCTGGGAAATGTGTTAGGCGTTATTGTTACATGAAAAGAATATATACATACACATGTAGTGTGTGTGCACAGATTGTTCACAATGTTATGTTTCAGTGTGTTAACTTTATACAATAAGTCCAGATAAAAAGTCCATTTAGTTAAGATGAGCTTTGTGATTAAGTGTTATATGAGTAGAATCACTTCACTAACAGGACAGAGGTATGGTGGCAGTTTTTTTAATGCTTTTTAGTTTCATTTTATATTTCCATCAGGTGCACGCAGCATTACCAAGGAAACAATTTAAAAAAAGAATGTGTAACTGTAATACATATAAATTGTTTCACTCAAACTGCTCCTATGATGTATGGCGAGGACTGCATTACTCTGGATGTAGAGCTTATCTATTATAATATCTTTTATTACCATCAGAAAAATAAAAAAAACGGATCAAATATGTTTAAGAAAGAAGTAAATTTATTTTACCTTTGTATTTCAATGTCTTGATTCAAACTCTGTAAAGGCCCTTGTACAATATGATGAAATCCTAAGGTTGTGCCCTGAGTCACTCCTCATTTATTTAACAGTGCATTGTGCCTGCTGTCCAACACTGTGTTAGACACGAAGAAATATAACTCATCAGATTATTGGGATCCTAAACTATAGCTGACAGGGGTGACAGAATTATATACTGAGTTATCACCGCTCTCCTCGTTAGAGAGTAAATCCGACTGTTACATGGGGAGCCATGAACATTTCTTTGACATGTGGTTCAATGTGACAGCTACTGACCTGTTTGTGTGAAGAGGCCTGAACAGAAAGTCATCATTAAATGTTAACCATTGTATTTTATTTCATGGATATTGCGTTTATTGGTTGTAATGGTGAGATAAGCAAGAACAGGTTACCCAGCAACTATGAACAGCTCCTTTACCAAAGTGAATTTTGTATTGACATGGAAAGGCTACGTGCGCTCAGTTACACAGATATCTGCTGCTATTCTGTTTCAGCATGTTGTGTCTGTGTCTTAAACCGAGCTAATGAATTAAGACCAAGTTGTTGACGAGGGATGAGAGCTCATCATTTATTAAGTGGTATTTTCTAACCTTATTTCATTTTAATCCAATAACTAAACTTCAAATTACTTTATTCCCTCAAATGACAACCCTGAATCACTAAAGTGGACTTTGACTTATAAGATCTGATATCAAATCCGCTTGTAGCTTCTCATTGGCACGTATTGACGCCGCCTGAAAAACGGACAAAAAAACAACATTTTCCTGTCTACAACTTTTGAAGCTGCTGTATTGGTCAGGTTTCCCTCCCTATTTTGTTTCATACTGCAAAAAAAGAAAAAACATAAACAGCCCACTCTTCCTTTACAAGAGAACCTACAGCCGCCCCAACCAAATAGTTTCTATATCTATATGTCCCTTAAATAATATTCTCTCTTTCACAATATGCACGTGTACAACAGAAAGACTGATGTGCAGTCAGTGTTTATTTACTGCCCAAGCCCTCTTTATTGTTTTACTGAGAACATTTAAATAACATCAGAACTAAATGTGGTAGAGTATTGATAAGCACAGAGGATTGCGGTGGGTTGGATGAAGGTTTGGACACAGTCTCTCCTCTGTTATGTACACTGAAGGTGCGGCGGCGACGGCCAGCAGATTAGAAGTTGATGGCTTTGCCGAAGGAAGCGGCCAAGTTTGCTTCTCTGAAAGCCTCCGACACCGTCTGCAGCAATAGTGAGGAGGGGGAGAGGGTGAGGGTGAGGAGGAGGAGGAGGAGGAGAAGAAAGAGTCAGTCTGAAATTGTATTTCTGTATTATGGTTATATTTGTGATGTTTTTGTTCTGTTCTTGAAAATTTAGAACAGGCTATTTTGTAGTTGGAAGCAAATTATGTGTGTATCATTGCATATTTTATTTTTATTTCCTGTATGAACAGTTAATGAATCTCCATTTGAACAGTTACACCTGACAAATACTGTCACACTTCACCACTTGCTTACAACTATATTATTCTGATTTGTTATAAACTATTTAGTAAATACTGATTAACTACTTATAAATGCTCAAAGTTTAATTAAAGTTGAACTATGCAGTGCAAATATTAATTGTATTAATCAATGAGTCAGTGAAAAGCATATCTACTGGCAGCTATTTCAATACAAACTTTTTTTCCCAAACAAGAGGAGAAAGCTTCCCACATTTCAGCCTCTCATCTGTGAGGATCTGCTGCTTTTCATTATCTCATTAAATTGCTAACTAAATATTTTGAGTTTTGGACCCACTGTTAAATAACAAGTTAGGTGAAGATATTCCCACTATCTTTAGGAACTGATGTCAGACACCTTAAACCATTATCTGATATTTTATCTTCCAGTTGCATAACAATATGCTGGTTTGACTGATGTTTTAACATGTGTCTGGAAAGTTATGTTAAATCAAATTCAAGTTGAAGTTACAACTTTACGTGACCACTGTGTTAAGTGCCTGCGATCTAACATAATGAAGGAAGTTACTGTTTTACAACTTGATATCTCAACACAAATATAAATAAATAAATAAAAACTGCATTTTATTCATTTCCACCCAATGTGTCTGATATTCTGTTTATGCATGTGTGTGTGTGTGTGTGTGTGTGTGTGTGTGTGTGTGTGGTTGTGTAACATACAGGATGGGCGTGGCAGACTCTGGCAACATCCTCACAGGAAGCTCCGTACTCCATGGCCAAAGCAGCCTCATTGATCATCTCTCCTGCTCCCTGCAGGAAAACACACCAATATTCAACCTCTGCTTTAAAGCTCATATTGAACCAGATGTTTGACCATCTATCAAACTACATCCAACTTCCTGTTTATTCCTAAAAACATCACGGCACTGCTTCTGAGAGTGACACCACCGATCACAAGGTTTTATTACAGAGACTGGAACACATTACTGGGATTAGAGGAACAGCACAAGGCTGGGTTAAGTCGTACTTACATGAAATCCAGTTTGTTTATGTTAACAAGGACAAACAATGACTATGGCCGTCCCCTTTTTATTCCAACTCTGAACATTCATTCAAATGATGTTTGGATGGCATTACCTTGGCCTCCAGTTCTACTATAAGAAACCCTGGAGTCATTTTCAACCAGGATACATCCTTTTACTCACACTTTAAACAAGCTTTCTTCCATCTGGGCCATATTAGTCACTAATCTTAACAGTTGAGGATGTGGTAAACCAGCAGCTCTCATGTTCTGCCAGGCAACATGAGTATTTTGGCATTGGAGTAATGTGGCTTTGAACCAAGTGATGTAGCAGTCATTTGTGGTTCAACAAAAGGATCTTCCTCTTGGATTTGAACCATTTATACAGGATGCAACATATGCATGCTTCTACCTTAACAGCCGGATGACACATGTGCGTGTCACTCACAATATCATCATTTTTAAGACAGGTGGCTGATGAAATACATTCTGATTTTCTGAAATACTTGCAAAAAAGATAAAAACCATTAAGGGAAATGTAGTTTGTTTGAATGTTAGCTCTCAACCTGTGAAACTGTGTCTCATCGATGAAAACAAAGATCAAAATTACATCAGGAGCTTTCACCAATTTATCAGCCAACTTAAACAGCTGTCCACTCTCTCTGTGTTTTCTCTCATACAGGATAGGTCATGTGTCTGGTGTGGGATGCAGCTCTTACAGGTCCAATAATGTGCGCTCCCAACATCCTGTCTGTCTCTTTGTGGCCGAGGATCTTCACCATGCCATCAGTGTCAGCGTTGGTTTTGGCTCGGCTGTTGGCTGCGAAGGGGAACTTGCCAACTTTGAATGGAATTCCCTGAGGAGCAGAGGAGGAAGATTTAATTCATAATATACATTACCCCAAGGCGCTTCACAATTTAGTTTAAATATTACAGAGAACTCCACAGCTCCCACAATGAGCAATGGAGATAGTTAAACACTGCTGGACATTCCACTCTGACAACAGAAACTCGATATTCAGATATTTCATTAAGGCTTTCCAGTGGCCTGATGTTGTCAAATGTGAGGAAATACTGCCTCATGTGGCTGATGTTGTGAACAACAAATGCAGATTGAAAAAATTGCTCAGTTTAACCACAAACAATTTAGTGAGATGAAGATGGGCGCGGCATGTTTAGAGTCTAGTCTGCAGCGGTGGAAATAAACAAGGCACATTTACTCCAGTGGTGTGCTGAACATCTAATTACCACCTAACTATTTCCTGTTTCTGCCACTTTTGGAATTTATATTTCACCTCTACGACCTGGCCAGGACCTGCCCCCCACTCACCCAATGCTCCAACTCGCAATGAGATGGATAAACTTCATAGATAATGGATTTGACTGATGGTTTGTTTATGTCAGGGCCACAGCTTTACTGTTCAGCTCGACTCAGAAACTGAGCTCAAAACGCCTGTATTTGTGGACTTGAATGCCACATTGAATTAATGATCATGTTGCTCTGTAACTGCTGGATGTGGGAACAAGTTGCATGACAAGTTCATATTGTTTCTGCTGCTCTAAAAAAAAGTGAGTTGCTGCAGGTTTAAACTAAACAAAGGCATTAAACGTTTTGTTTAATCAAACATTATAAAAATGCCTCCAGTGATCTTAATTTAGTTTGTTGTGTGGGCAGCTCTATTATTTCTGTCCTCTTCTTCTAATTGCATCTGATGTTGCCATTATTACACAAGCTACCACTGTTTTCCTTATCTACATGAATTAGTGTCACCCTCCTAATTATCATCACCCCTCTACTCTCACCTCTTCTTTGAGCTGCTCCTCTGTCTTGCCTATCCAGGACACTTCAGGGTGTGTGTAGATGACAGAGGGAACACAGTTGTAGTCGATGTGCACAGCGCCGCCGGCAATGCCCTCGACGCAGATGATGCCCTCATCTTCAGCCTTGTGGGCCAACATTGGGCCGGCGACCACATCACCAATTGCATAAATACTGAGGGGAAAAAACAGTCACAGAAATGTGAGATTCAGGCCGCCTCCCACAGACAACTATTTGTTTACATGAGTCAGCCTGAGCTTGGTGGCACCTGGGTACTTTGGTCTGGAAGCGGTTGTTGACAGGGATGCGCCCCCTGTTGTCCAGCTCGAGGCCAACAGAATCAAGACCAAGGTTCTGCGTGAAGGGTCGTCTGCCGATGCAGACCAGCAGCACGTCACACGTCAGCGTCTCATTCTTCCCACCGGCCGCCGCCTCCACTCTGAAACATCAAACACGTCAACAAGCACTGTTACAAACTGGTGCCACACTCTGGTCATTAATAACCACTTCCCATAGAGTTCAGATTTCAAAAGTCAATAGCTTCAGAAGGGTTTTACTGACGCCACATCGATCTTCCCATCGGGCCTTTTGGTGGCTCCCATGACTTTGGTGCCGAGCTTGAACTTGAGGCCCTGCTTCTGCAGAATACGCTGGAAGTTCTTGGAAATCTCCATGTCAATGCCCATCCCGCCCACATGGCCGAGGAACTCCACCGCTGTGACCTTCGAGCCCAGTCGCTGCCACACTGACCCCTAAAGGATAGGAGGGTAAACATTTGTGTGACTAAGAGGACAGATTCAAGTGATCCAAACTAAAGAGGACATGAGATGTTGTTGATGTGAGGATCTCTGAGCTACTATTTTTGTTAATTCTAGATCAGACAACCAGTCAATATCTAACATATAATGTTTAAGTGTTTCTTGGTGAATGAGACTAAGGTGAGGCTGACCAGCTCCACTCCAATGACTCCAGCTCCAATCACGATCAGCTCCTCAGGCACTTTCTTCAGGGACAAAGCTCCTGTTGATGACACAACGGTCTCCTCATCAATCTGAAGAAACAAACAAAACACAAGACTTAACATGTTTTAACTGCCTTCAACATACATCCCCACATACATTTTAACTGAATACTTAGTAAACAGGTAGCATTGGCATCTGCTGATGATTTAATGCATTAAGCTAGAATATGACATATGCATCAAACCAGAGTGCAAATCATTCAGAATGATTTCAAGACAAGCGAAGGATGAAACACATCATGATTTGCTGTAATACTTGCAGGAGAGGTAAAATGATTTATGGGACATTTTTGATTGTTAGTATATCAGCCTGAAAATTTAAGGCTAAGACAAAAACATTGGAATTGGTTTTAGAGTGTGATTTTGTTCTGTGCCTTAGGTCTTAAAGGGTTAATGATGCATGGAGTGACCTATAGAGAATTATTATTTAGCAGCAAATCTTTGACAATCAAAAAATGAGCCAAAGTTAACAGCAGAGCCACTGATATGATAAAATCATGGTGAAGAACAGTAGCGAGTCTCACAACATCCACGTTAAAATACGACCAAATGTATTTAAACCTTCTTGTTTGTTATATTTTTGTAAGATCATTAAGTGGATCATGGTTTTGAAAATGTTTGGTGTCCATATTTTCCATCTTTCATATTTGCTTGTAAAGATTTCAGGGGAAGGACACTCATCTGTACCTGGATCCCAGGGAAGGGCGTGACCTCTGAGCCAGTGGCGAGGAGGATGTTCTTGGTGTTGATGACCTGCTCGCTGCCATCTTCTGCTGTTGCCGTCACTTGGTTCTTACCCGTCACCCTCCCAAAACCATTGACATGTGTCACCTGAGGGGGGAAGTATTATACTATAAACACTGTAGTTATGTGAATTAGATGCAAAACAAGAACCGTTAACACTGAGAGAAGTCTGACTTTGTTCTGTTTGAATAGATGTGCGATTCCCCCGGTCAGAGCTTTGACTGCCCCGCTCTTCTGAGCCATCATCTTCTCCAGATTCAATGAGATGCCTGAAACTGATACAAACACAGAATTCCAACAATTACTCTATTTATCGATTAGTCTATACACATGAAAATCAGAGATTCTGTTTCCATCTGAACCGATTCACTGAGCTTTAAAGTGGAACGAAGCCTCTTACTTTCAATGCCTCTGCTTTCAAAGTCTTTGCCATGAGCCATGTGGTACAGGTGCGAGTTGTTCAGCAGAGCCTGCAGACACAAAACGTCACCCTCAATATTTTTCATTCATATGCAGTCATTGTATGTTTTTTTATGTTCAGCTTTTCCCAAAATGGCTGTGGATACCACCAGGAAAGAATTAAGTTCAACACCCAATGATTGAGAGGTCCACTCCATTCTAATGTGCTAATATGACATGTGTGGTCCTCTTCACTGGAGTACATGTGGCACATGACTGCCAGGTATCAATTGGAATCTTTTTATTTGAAAACTTTTATTCAAGGTATTTACATCCATTAAGGAGTAGGCGAACACACTACAGTATATACAACAATATTCTGTATAATACCAATTGCACAAGTGGTTTATTGTTTTATATTGAATTTGTCTGTAAATTTCATTTAGCACATTAATTCTTGGATTATGTACAAAAACATGTTTTGTTAGGTCACAATGAACTTTGACATGAAATCCTCAACTCCAAATTAACATTTATGCCAAGTTTGAAGTAATTCTCACAATATGTTCCTAAGAGATCACATTGGATGGACAGACATAAGGACAGAAACATACTGCATCCAGCTACATAACAGAGAACAGAGTGGGAATAACAGAAGATAGTGATATGGGATATTCTCATTGAAAAAAATCACAGTATCAGTGTTTGTTCACCACAGTCTCTTTAATTGCTACAGGTACAAACACGTTTCACAATTTCAATCAGAAAGAAGAGCAGTTTATTACCTTTGAGGGGATGCAGCCGACATTCAGGCAGGTGCCACCCAGTGTGGGATTCTTCTCCACACACACTGTCTGTTGAGGAAAGTACATGTTTTAGAGGCAGCATCTGTTTCTACACTACAAAGAAAACACGCAATATTGACTTCAAACTGTCAGCTCTATGACATGCATTCAGTAGGTGTGTTTCTACAATATAACAAGGAATGTCACGTTAAATGAAATGAATATGGTGCATTACAAGTAAACACTCTTGGGGAGGAGTCTTACTTTGAAGCCGAGCTGTGCAGCTTTGATGGCAGCAACATACCCGCCTGGACCGGAGCCCACCACTGTGACATCTGCATCAACTATAGAGAGGAAACAAAGAAACTTTATCACAGCTTGCTTTTAAGTAAAATATTAATTTGCCTAATTGTTGAAAGGTTCTATACAAATAAACGTGCCCTGCAGGCTGGCAGTTAAAGCATTGGGCCTTTGTCTTATTCTTGAATATTCTGTCATCTCTCTACTGCTGATTACCAATAATGGAATAAAATGCCCACAAAATATTTAAAAGATAAATATATCAATAACAGTAGAGTTAAACAAATTCTCCTTTATTGTCTTATCCACATTCATATTTATATTCTAATCTCTGTTATGTTTTTTTCTGTGAGGTTTGTTTCATGCCAAATTCTGCATTTATGAGATTTGAAAAATATCTAACTCAACTCATATTCACCATTAACGAAAACTGGTCCACTCTGTTTTTGAAGTTACAGTCACACAAACGTCAGCAAAGAGTTAAAAGATCAACATTCACATTGCCGCTGCCTCTTAAGTCTTCAGTGACGTGATAAATGACGTGTGTCTATTTTGAGGAAACTAGATACTGTGCTCTTCAAGACATTTCAAAGACAGATACCCAGGCATGTGTTCCGTTGATCTGATGTAACAAGTAGGTCCAGCGTCAGTTAAAGGGGAAACAACTATCAAACGTGAGGCTAAAGTTCATAAGAGAACAAGCCATTAATGAAGTCATAATTTCTTACTTGCTGCTTTGTCAGCATAGGTTCTGACAGAAAGAGCTGTAGCTCCATGCAGTTTGCAGGGAAGTTGGTGGCTCCGCTGTGAATGGAAAAAGAAACAGTGTCACAACCTGTTTATCAACACCTTATAAGTATAGTACAGCATCTGAAAATTAGTTTTACCAAGTACAGTAACTGTGCCGTGATGTCACTTCAGAGTAATTTTCTATCAACCGTTTAGAACAATATAACAGAAACTCAGTTTATTATAGAGAATGAATGCAGCCACATTCAAAATAATTAAACCAGTTCCACATCTAGGAGAAGAAGAAACCTTTGTTTATCATCTTTTTTTTACTCAGGCACAAGTATCTACTTACAATATTTTCCAGATGAACTCCCAGGCTTGACATTAGCCTATTTGTTATTTGTTTTGTCTATTTCCTTCACTAAAATGTCTATGATCAGTAGTTCAGTTACACAGTGTGTTTAAATCACAGTGAAAACAGATTTAGGAGAGAAAAAACTTCCTCGTAAACAGTTAGCATCACATTGATAAAGTTATAAGGTAAAGTGAAAAAAGGAGCTCATATTAAATGCAAATGTAAATATCTGACTCAATCGTGTCATTTCAGCTGCAGGCCACGTGCAATAACACTGTGGGACTTTCAGCCCTTGTCTTTTCTGTGCAATAAACACTTTAGGGGCATCATCGGTGCAATAAAACACTTATGTATATTATACAGTTATATCAGTACACTGTCGGTATATAGTATTTATTCTGTACAGTTTGCCACTTCCCTAAAATAAAACACTTAGTCTAATATTTGTTTATAACGGTGCAATATAACACTTATGCATATTAGCCTGTATGTGCTGGTACATCATCGGTACATTTTTTATTTGTATAGTATATCTGCATCTTTAAACGCCTTTGGTCCTGGAATCCTCTTATTTTTATTTCAATTTGTGTAGTGGACTGTGTCTTGTTAATTATATGTTTGGCATCGAGGAGGAGGACTGTGCTACAATTTCGTTCTGCTAGTGTATGAAGTACGACTGTGCAATGAAAATAAAGTCTTTTGAATTGAATTATCGGACAACCAAAATTTACATTAAAATACAATATTTACATTAAATATAAAAAGAATATGAACATGTTCAAAAGTAAGAATAAGGTGAGGGTTGTGCAAAACTGAGCAGTGCAAACTGAACATTAACAGTGAAAATCAAATAAAATGTATGCAATATAAATGTAAACTGTGCAAATGGAATACTTTATGTTAAAGTGCAGACCAGTGCTGCAGTTGGGAGGTAGGTTATAGACTCCTGTCAGCTGTTTAGTCTAATGGCAGTGGGGAAGAAAGAGTTTTTGAGTCAGGAGTTAGGTAACCACTGCTAACTAGCTTAGCGTGCTAACATGACATGTAGGGAAATAAATCAAAAAAGTCGTTTGGCTACTTCTACTTGTCAGTAGCGTCAATGTAAACCTATTTTACCTCGTTCTTTCCGTGTTTTCACTACAAAAGGCATGATTCATTTTAACTGTGGACCTTTTCGCTCGTATCACTCACACCGAACTGTAGAAGGAACATTTATAAAACTGGCCATCGTATCACTTCCATATTAAATGACATGTTTTTTCAACAATAACCCAAACTACTGTGGATTGCAGCTTCGCCCAGTGGAGTCTGGTGTTGCGTCCTCCCCCGTATGACACCACCGGACCACAGCTAGCTAGCTGGCCCACTAGCTAGGCCCGGGCGGCGGGTGTGAAAACACCAGTATCCGCGGGCCCGGCAGCCGGGGAGACCGGTCTGAAACCGACCCGGACAACATACGCTGGTTAACGAGTAAGAAGTGTCCACACTCACCGTGGCCAGAGAGCGGTACAACTGGGTCCAGCTCTGCATGTTGTTGGTGTCGCTGCCCCGGATCAGTCACCTACAGCAGGCCGAGTGTGAAGGACTCCTCACACTGCGCAGGCGCACTACCAGTGCACAAGCGGCGTGTCGCCTCTGAATGACGTAGGTTACTGCGAGGTCCGGACATACCAGTTTCAAAATACTTATTTGTGAGTAAAGTATACAAATCATCAGTGATGTGCAACTTCAATGTCTTCGTTCTGCAGTACAGTCTCTTGTCAAGTCAGATGCAGTTGTGTTGCAGGTTAAAAACAACAGGAGGTGTGATGACAAAGAAGTAAACACAGTGTGAGAGGAAGATGCAATAGAAGAAACAAAGTTAAGATGCACGAGATTAAAATGATTTGATATTATTTATGACTTTACGTGAATACTACATTATAGTATTACAGCCACTTGGAGATTTTGAGAAAGAGTTGGATGAGAACAAATTTGTACATTTACAAGAAAAAAAGTTGTAATTTTAAGAGAATAAAGTCTTAACATTAAAAAATGGATGTAGTTTTTTTTACAGGAAAAATGTACATTTGCAATATTAAAAGAGTACAGTTGGGGCTATTTGTCATGTTATATATCAGATCAGCCTGTCACTTGTGTTCAGTGTTATTCTTTAGAATATGTTGCTCAAATAACAAAATACTTCAACTTTTGGCTCATCAGCACCACATTATGATATAATACTATTATATAAGTGTCAGGAAAAGATTGTGCAAACAACTGATTTTATTCAGAAGAAAGAAACAGACAGATTTGGAGGAACTTGTCTCTTTAGTAGAAAAGAAAATGCTTGTTAGTGGTGAGGTTATTGGTATCATATTAATAGTTATCTTAAAAGAGGTTTCATAGTTTCTAAGAAGCAACATTTTGATCCAGACGGCAGAAGGAGTGAAACCTTGGTATGCATGGGTTCTCCTAGCTGCTTGTTTTCTAAAAAAAAAAAAAAAAATTATTTAAATAAATATATTATAATTATAATATAAATTCGTTAAATTAAGACTTTATTCTAGTAAAATTTTGACTTTATTCTTGTTAGTACAAATAATAAAACCAAAGTCTCTCCAAGTCTCCATTGTATACTGAGCATGAGAAAAAGGTGGAAAGCTTTAAATCTTCATCTTGCCTCTACACTGAGAAAAAAATAAAATAAAAGATGACTGGAATAATAATGTTTAGTGAAATAATAAATACTCGCAGGCGTTGCTCCATTCCTGTTGAACTAATTAACATTAAGCAACGTGAGTTTGTGACAGATAAGTTACCACATCAAAAAATTGATAATGAGATTAAGCCTTTTATTTTGCAGGGTTTCTTTTCTCTGACTGGCCGTGAGGTGGACAGGGTGCCAATCATTATTTTGAGACACCGGTGTGAAACATTCTCTGGCTTGGTGTGGTGTCTTGCCTGTTTCCAAGCAGCCATACAGTGGCTCAGACTTACTGGTGTGGTATATTAAACTGAGTGTGTTATGTGTGCTGCTCCATACGGTTACTCTCTCTTCCTCGTTGGTGTTGAGTTGGTGGGCGCGATCAGCTGCCTGTTGTAGGGGTTGATCTCATTCTCGGGAATGATTTAGCTGGAGAAAAAGTGTTTTGGTTGGACTATCAGGATCAAGTGTAACATCCACTGCTTACTCCAGCTCGGTCTCAAGAAGGTTTGTTATATTCTCATCGTCTCCATGAGCTCAGCCTGGCCTCTCTCAACAGACGTCCTCAGAGCAGCCTCACAGAGATGAAGGTGTTGAACCACAGCTCAGGTCTCTTGTAGAAAAGCTCTTTACAGTTGGGACACCGACACAGGAACTTATTATCCCAGTGTTCAGTGATGCATTTGTTACAGAAGTTGTGTCCACATGGTAAAGTGACTGGATCAGTGAACACATCCAGACAGATGGAACACAGGAACTGATCCTCATGTCTACACATGGAGGAGAAAAATACAAAAAAGAGCATTGTACAGTGTATTTGCAAATCTTTTGATTATTTGTGTCATTACATCAAACATCAAACTGTAATTAGTGGAATATTAGGAGGAATTCTGTTGTTCACCCAACTGAGAACCAAATGTACTGAGAACATGGCTCAATACCAACATGCAGGGACATGCAATTACATTTTTGACATAATCTGTATATTCCTGCTATTAATTTATCAAGACAGCAGCTGATTACACAGTCAGGACTTGGACTATTTACTTGGGCTGCCCCCAAATTGTCAACCAGCAAACATCAGACAAAAGGAAGAGTCTTAATTGATTACGTTTGGATTGGTCCTTTGGTTGCAGAGGAAAAAAAACACTCATTCACCCAGTCAGTCACAGACACATGATTTATACAGATGGTCCCTGTGAGTATTAGATATTAATGACATATGTCAGGCAAGAAGTGATGGAGGGATAACAAGACTGCATTGCAAATTTCTGCCAGGGAGGCTTTAAGAAATATAGTAAAGAGGGATAAAGTCCATATCCAAAAATGTAGAGTGGCTGAATGGCTGAAAGGCAGAACTGTCCCCAAAACAAATTGGTTAGGTTTAAATGCTTACAATGCAGTTTAACTCATGACCACTATGACTCCCTCTGGACTGACAGACTGACCCCCATGGACTTCAGATGAGCCAATCATTATTTTACGTTTCTAACTAGTAGGCCAGAAGATATCAGTTGAGTAGGTGGTCCTTCAATTTGGGGCCACGACAAATTAGCATTCACACTGCTAAAGGGAAATGGCCTGGTTTGAGGGATCAGATCACAACGTGCACTTATTATATGTTGGGTACGTCCACACTCCTATTTAGAGCTGTCTGCTTGTGATCGCATCACCTGAGAAATATGTGCAAGGTCTGACAGGGCCTGAGAATTAACACAGACATTGAGCCTGTTGGTTTTACTCTTTCCAAAGACAACACTGCATTTGTTTGATGGGTGGGGTTTTATTGGGACTAAATAAATCAAGGTGGATGACTCTGAATGTTTTTGCCTTTGGTATTCAAACAAGCACTAATCTGATTTCTTTAGCATTGCAGTGATAACATCCCAACACATGTGGTTCTTTCAAATGCACTAAAGTGAAATTCTTTCTTCAAATCCCATTTAAGCAGAATAGTTTTTACTTTATTTGCATATTGTTATACAAAGCTCCTGATAATACAGACAGTATTTGTCCTTAATTCCTTTCCACCACTTGGAAATCCATAGTATCTCTAAGAGACGGACATTGGCTTTATAAGTAACGCTTTCGCTTCCATGCATATTTTGAACATCTTAAGTGCAGACAATTAGATATGCAAGGTATTTAGACTTGATTCCACTCCTGAACTCACAGCATATGTTTTACTGTCAGAGCTTGTCCTCATATGGCCTCATGCTGCAGTTTGTGATGAGTGCCACTAGAGTGCGCCACTAATTCACATTAAACACTGGTTCAGTTTTCAGATCGCCTGCTCAAACAACTGTACAAAACAAAGCATGAGCTTACATGGAACTACTTTATGCACAATACAGTATTTGGTATCAGATGATATAAGACATCACTCACTCAGTTTTCTATTTCCATGTCCCCCCCCTCACCCAACCCACAGGTTATGCAGATATTTGACTCTCAAGCAGATGATGAAGCGTTGACCACCTGCTGCAGGTTTTAGTTTCATGTTAATAAGCTGTTATGTGTCTGAGTCACTGTCAGCCTGACACTAGCTGATGATTGATGTCACGTAACAAGACGGCATGCAGCAGGACAAGAGACAAGTACAGAATTGGATAGGTGGAGTAAGTAAAAGTCTGCAATGTTCTCTTTTCTTGTCTCAAGGTGTCCTCTGGGACAAACTTAACAAGAGGGGAAATGTCCTAAACATCCCGGGTCCAATCAACAGATAGTTTGATCAGAGGATAAGCATGTGTGGCAACAAACCACCTGCACTGCTCACTTTAAACACTTCAGCTGAATCTGTAGCTCCCCTCAGCTTCACAGGGCTTCATGAGCGTATTGTTTATGTGTCCTGTCCACAGCTTTACTCTTCTGGCTCACACTCACCGCTCTCATGGTGTTGTTTCTGATTGCAGCAGGAAGCCGGGCAGCTTTAAAAAGGCTCTCCACCAAACAACAGACACATTTATGAGAACAGCAGGTGAGAATAGTTGAGCATGTAGCAGCTGAAAAGCCAGATATTTAGATCAGGTGGCTGTAGAGACCGAAACAGAGCTAAGCAGAGAGGATATTAGACTTGAATTCATCAGGTGGACACAAACACCACTCCTATTGAAAACTAATGGTGTTCCCCGACTGGACATGGAAACAAGGTGCTGTTTTCTCAGTATATCGACTTAAAATTATCATGTTAATGCTGTGTTCACAATATTTTACTGAAGGTTTTAAAAATTACCAAGTTGACTTGCATTGCAGCGAATTGCCTAAAATTCCTGTTTGCTAGAAATTACTTCAAGAATAGTGAGAGTGAAATAAAATATTAAAGGTACAGACCCTGATACTAAAACAAGCTGAAAGAGGCAAGAAGGGGAGAAATCAGGTGATAATTGTGTGTGGGGTCATCAAAGCAAGTGACTGGTTCACTTATTAATTTCCTTATTATAACTTTATATACATATTAATAATAGCAACATCAAGAAATTCTGATCACCAATGCTAATATCACTAATCTGTTGTAATCTGTTAATTTGTTTTTTGTAATTATGTTACATTACATCTTAAGCTTTTATACACCAGAGCACCTCACAGTTAAGATTTGTCATAGGTGTAATCAATACAAACTATATCCAATTAAACTCTCAAAATGTTATGGATATAATATTACACTTAATACATTATTTGTTTAAAATTATATTTTATTCTTGTAATATGCAATATATTTTCTGAACATAAAACATATTTTTTCTTTGACTCTATTCACATAATATCAGACAGTTTTATAAGATTCAAATACGGCTATTCTGATTAGAAAGCAATATTTGTATTTATTTTACAGTTTAAAAAAACATTTGCCTTGAACTTTGCTATAACCTGAGTAACTCTAGCAGCCATTTGACCTTTTTTCATGTTTGTGCCTGGGTTACTTCAGCAGGATCCTACAAGAGTGTTTCCAAAATAAGTTTATTTTGTGAAACACAACTTGTCCCTTTGAGACCTGCTGACAGTCAATTCAATTAAAACATGATGCCAACATCCCGGCAAACACTCCCTTCTACTCTCAGAGAGATGCTGGCTTTCAAAGTCAATTGTGTCCAATGTGAAGAGCTTGCCTTCATGTCCCCGTCTGGAGCCTTTTCACGTGCTAAAATAAGAGTTTCCCCCTCTTTCCCCAAGTCGACATGAGCAAAGTGAGCACTGTGAAAGGCTCAGAGAGAGCTTCCATTTGATGACTAGCAGCCTCAGGTCTTGTGTCTGTGTGACACCATGAGCCACGACAAAAGCTCGTCCTTTCTGCTGCTGCAGAATAACACTGAAAGAGAAGAAAAGAGGTGGTGTATGATGGGGAGGAGGGAGAATTTAGAAGGAAAAAAGAGGGGGTCTGGCTTTTGAAACGGGCTCTGCGCAGATGTACAGGGCAGGAGGATTAGGCCGTGGGTGTTGGTGAAGTTCACCCAGCTTGGCTCTCCCTCCACCGTGGCCCTTTGTGGCTCCCAACAGCCTCAGGGTTGTAAGTAGCCGGCCAGTGTGCCAACGAAGCTCAGTGAAAATGACAATGGTGGAGCGACCCCAACACCCCCCGCCCCAACCCGATCCCACTGGCCTGTGACTCAAAACTCACCCTCCATACCCACTGCATGATCAGTGAGCTGATGTCACCCCATCTGACTGTGTGTGTGTGTTGACAATTCCATAACATTAGGAAAAAAACCTGTTCCCACACCACCACTGTCAGCTTCAAACAAAACACCCCGTCTCCACAATATATGAAAAAATGTGAAAACAAGACGCGTGCTCAGGGACCATATACCTCCATCAAGGATAATGCCCTATGACACCATGTTAAAGCAGTGTTTCCATTAATGATCTAAAACGTGGCAGCCCATCAAGTGTTTCGCTCCATTGCTGCAACTTATTCCCGCCACACAGACAGTGAGACCTCATAATTTTAGCTGCAGTTGTGCACGTGAGTGGCACGCAATGTAGTCTTTCACTCTTTAGTCTGTGTACCTGTCACTTGCAATCTGTTACACGTGAGAGCAACACACATATGCACGCTGCAGAGAACATGAATAAAATGTCACCTCCCCAGAATAGGTAAAACAATGTACGATTACTTTTTCTTCTCTCTAAAGGACACCAGTGGAAGAGGCACTGAATGTAAAACAAGAAAATTTAAAATACGTCAAGGCCCTCCTACCTAAGTATAGTAGTATATAAGGATTATCAGTAAAATGTATTTAATATGCATGTTTGATATAGCTAAATTGTTAACACTGATGCAATAGCATTTTAGCTGCTCCAGGTGGAGCTAAATAATGGTTGATGGAAGATGAAAGAAGTAAAGTTATCGTAGTTACTATATCCAAAGTTTGATCAATTTCAATACCAGAGGAGTAAATTCCCACTGCACACGCATAACATTTTTCTCTTGAAATAAACTATGTGGGTTAAATGGTGAAACATCCTCTTAATATTCACATTTTTCTTGAGTAGTCCTGCACCATTCATCCAATATCATCTCAGACCCATTAGACTGTGTTCTCTGTTCCCTTGAGCCAAGCAAGCCAATCACCTAATGTTTGAACAATGAAGACTACACATTCAAGTGAAGAAAACAAAGAAGCCATCACCAGCATCTGAGAGCTGCCTTTTCCACTGGCCAAAAAACCAAATGACTGTAGTAGACATAGCTCTAATTGGTTCTGATTGGCAGTGATGGAAACCTGACACCGAGGTGAACATGCTAGTTTGGCCTCAGTTTTATTCACTGGTATGGTGCAAGAACTGTGACAGGGTTCTGTTGTCTTGAATCAAAAACAGCCGTTGTCTACTCACCGAAAAATGACGATCACAACGTTTAACTGTGAAGTGTTAGTTTTAACATAAATGTCCCATAAAATATGTTGATTTGTCAGTTGGTTGTCAGCCAACCACTTTTGTTCAGACTAAAATATCTTAACAACTTTCTTTCATTTTGATGCAGGAATGTATAACTTCCTGATCCTCACACATCATCCTCATACATCACCCAGCACTGAACGAGGAGAGAGAGAGAGAGGGAGCAGCAGATATTCTCAGAGTGTATTGTGGAGAGGAATGCCATTGAATTTGGGTGTTTTTTCATGTGCCAGCCTCTTTTGTGTGCAGGCTATGGAAGTCCATTGTGCGGGCAGACACCCTGAGAAAAGAGGCGAGCTTGGAGCCGTTGTCTGCCGGTGCTTCTGCAGCGCTCGAGTCCTAAAAAGGACCTGAATGAAGCTTTGCCATCGGAAGCAGCCGGCCCGAACCAAGAGACAATGCCACTGGGCAACTTTGAAGACCTGCAACAATTAAAAATGCAGCTTCACTATATTAATTATGCATTCATGCTTTTGTCTTGGCCTTTTCTTGCAAAGGGGAGAATGGGCGGAGGCAGGGGGAGGAAGAGGGCGGGGGGAGCGTAAGGTTTAAGATTCAACAAGTCTGAGACAGAGGGAGAGATTACAGAACACATGCAAATGCTTCAGCAAATGAAAACTCATTGAGTGAGAAATGTGTGTGAGGTTGGATGTGAGATTCAGGGGGGATTACGGACACTAACAGGATCATGTGCAAGAAAAAAAGCAGCCAACTGATGGAATAAAAATAAATATTCAAAAAAGATTAATGAAACAAGACTTTGCTCCAGTGGGACGACAATAAAACAATTGTGGATAAAAAAGGAAGCAGATGCAGAGAGTTCAACAAAACTCTCAGTCTCATCTTGCACAGCATGTTGCTAGGGAACTCTGAGTTAAAGCTTGGAGTTGCACTTTGCAGACTCTTTTTCTATGAGGCTTTTCTCCTTCCCTGCTGCCTCAGTTGCAGGCAGGACACACATTAAGCAGCTTTCTGAAGGCATTGAGGTGGAGTTCTGCTGGCTGCCGGCTCTGACAGGTGGCCCTGTTGTGCACAGAGTTGCCAGCAAACAGCTCCTTTTGCACCAACGGGAAGGTTTATTCAGAAAAAGCCAACACTGCTTTGAAAAATCGTTCTGTTCGGGGGGAATTTATGCCTCGTTTACAACCAAATCTGTCTCTGGGGTCCCACAGGACTTGGAGTCATAGTCGCCCCCCTGCTGGTCATGAGACAAACTACATATGCATTAAATATCAGACTACAGATAAAGTAATTACTAATATAATCCTAGTCAAAGCCTGAAATAAAAAAAGGGAATTGAACAAGGTGGAAGTAACATGAGTCCATGATCGCATTGATATGTGGTGACATTTAAAAGTATGTTGAATTGGCATTGCATTAGTGTTTGATTGCATTGTTTATGTAGATGCCCATACAACTATCAATGGATTACTTTGACACCGGAAAAGATCTTAAACATAATAACACTGGGAAGAAACGTGTGTTTCATGTCTGTGTTCAGATTTAACTAAGTCATGACTCAGAGGAGTATGATTTCTGATAAAAGGATCTACATGTCCTCCATGAGTTGTGTGCCACATGTTCTGCTGGTGTAACTGCCGATCGATGTGAGACACGCATCAAAAACCAATGTTGCCTACACATGCAGCTCGGATGATCCCATGTCCCAAGTTGGGAAGTGTTTCTTCTGACTTCTGTAAATGTGTTTTTAAGGACATGGAGGCTACAAAAAGATTTGATTTTGTCTCTGTGGTCGTCCAGCTTTTCAGGGAGCACCTCAACTTTTCAGCTTGGCAGTCTCTCATAAAGTGTCTGCGTCTCTGCCTTTTAAACCTGAGGATCAATCAGCTTACAGCTCTCAACTGCGCTGATTGATCCTCTGGTACAGGTGAAGGTGCTCTTCACAGTCTCAGAGACTCAAACCACTACTTGTAATCAGGGTCGCTGCTAGTACTCTTCTTAGCCATGAGACAACAACTAATGGTTACAGCCTAATATATTACAAACTAAATGTAATTTACTTGTGTACCAAACTCTGTGCCAACTTTCTGAGTTCTTGTTCGGATTATGTCAAATATTATTGGTCATTACAACTCTTTGTAAAAGCACCAATTGTCTTTAGAACACTTGGATACACCTGTGACCCAATACCTTATATCAAAGACTGTTGAATCGAATGTTGAGCTGCCCACACCTTTACACAACAGCACTGTGGCTGAAATGTCATTATACAAGTGGGCATGATGACCAGAACTAGAAAAGTAAAACCCTGTAGTTCTTGAAGCTAAAAGAGTGAAGACTACATAGGGTTAAATGTTAAAGTTGTAGTTGTGGTTGCACTAATGTTTGTGTTGCATGAATGGGGGAAACTCCAATCTGTCCTCACAGTTAGAAAGTGAAAACTTTTTCCCACAAGAACTAAGAGTCAGTTCATTGAGGGGATACTTCACAATGTCAGTATTTGATTGACAGTTTGCTCATTTGGCCACATTTTCAGGTCCAGTAATAGCTGCCATGTGTTGGGAATTGATGCTGGTAACCACCATCGTTCCCCAGGTCTGCACCTGTGTGACATTACAGCTCTGTCACTCTCACTGCTACACTGTGGGACTGACTCCTCTTTATAGAAACAGGAGACAGCCAGAGGAAAGGGAGAGTTAACTGAGCGGTCAGCAGTTAAACAGGTTTCTGTGTCACATTCTGAAAACTACCAGAGATCAGTTCTTATTGGCTTTAGAAGGTTTGTGGATCCAGTACACAAGGGTTTGACAAACAGAAGTGGAGCAGAGTTTAGAACCATTAGAGCTTGTTATCATAGATAACGTAACACAAATGGGGGCTCGTCTGGGATCTGCACCCAGCACTTCTCGCAGCCCAAGCGAGAATCATACTCAGACCTAGCAGTAAGGATTCATGATTCTCACCCAGGTGGCCGGGGTTCGATTCCTGGTATGGGAACCACCAATTGTGTTATGTCCCCTCAGAGGAACTAGGAGTACAAGAGGACCATAACACACAAATTAGGTGGCTTTTATTTTAATTATACATTATAAATGCAAACAGAACTCATAATCACAGAATATGGGGGAAGGAGGAAAAAAAGGAAGTTGCCAAATCAATAAAATAAAAATAACAAAACAAGCCTGACTATTCGCTACTGCTTAAATAAATATCACAAACAAAACACCTCAGCTGATAATGCAAAAAATAGCTTTGCTGAAATAAATACACAGGTGGCAACAACCAAACTGACTAGTGTGTCTAAACAAAAAGAAGTACGTACATGAGTGAATGTATAGGATACCCAACTTACCTAGTCCTTCTTTCCCACAACATTTACTATGGTATTCTAACCAGTTTGCTATTACACCAACACAACAAATCATGGGTGTTGCACACAGGCTGAGATCAGGGAGAACAAAAGAGCAAAGACTCTCAGGTCTGCTCCTTTTGTAGATCCCCCTTACTGCCGGTTGGACATGCTCTAATTAGTGGTGGAAGGGACCACTCCCATCTCACCTGTAGAGAAAACAGCATGAGGGGAGAGACAGCAGGAAGGAAAAGACAAACACACATACACCCGCACACTCACACACACACATGAACACAGCACTATGCCCACTGCCTGGCACATAACACAGATTAACATAGTTGTCAAGTTCTTGTGCAACACCTACAATGTTTACATAGAAAATACATATTGCTGTCAGCACCCCAGCTCGGTCACACCTGACTGGCTGTTGTGACTGTTTCTTTCTTTTGAATAATTGGTTTGTGGTTGTGTTTCTGTTTCTCCCCTGCTCTTTGCTCTCTCTACACCTGCAAGTCATCACCGTCAAACACACCCAGGGATCATCCGCCAATAAATAATATCTAATAATACTGTCAGTGTCCACCAGATCATCACCTCACATGGTATCGGTACTGGCTTCAAGTCAGTTTTATAAATATTCAGCAGGAGATTCTCCACTTAGACATGTCCACAACAACATAGAAATCATTGTAGCGTTCCTGTAATGAGCGGCACAGCAAGCAGAGGCAGGACCTAATGTATAAATTCCTGCAAAAGAAAAGTGGAATAGATAATGGAAGTTTCTGTCAGTAATTTGTCAATGTTTCATAAAAAATTGAGTGTCATGACATATCATGTTAGTGAATAGGCTTCTTAATTTAGTCGACCAAGGATGACAAAATGTCTATTTATTAGGTGCATGAATACAATAGTATACAACAGTCTTGCATATTAGCATACCTTCATGACCTGTTTATGTACTAAGCTGTGGATTTGATTTGATGGTCATTTTGGCAGCTACAGTTGTAGTGCTGCTTTCTCCTGAAGGATTGCAAATATTTTGAATGAATAAGGCCAGACTAAACTTTAGACACATAACTCTTCATAATGTTGTATAAAAGCACAACACAGACTACATCCTTCACAACTGTGAAACAACACCACTTTAAATTAGCTTTAAACAAGTGACCATTATAACAAGGACTTACAGCAAGAGGTTTTATTGGAAGACAGTGCACCTAATAAAGAACCAACCGAGGGTGCAGTTCCCCAACAAGCTTCTAAAAATAGCAAAAATGTGTTTTAACTGCCACTTTGACGTACGACACGAAATCCCAAGTTCCAGATTTGACCTTCATAACTAAATCCAGATTGTTTCTGAAAGCAACCCTTTCATGTTCACCACTTTACTACATAAGTCAGTGACGGCTGCAAAATTCAGATTAATGCTTTCTGTAAATTGCCAAAATTGCTTCACACTGGTGCAATTTCTCTCCTTCGGCCCAAACAAAGGTTCAACCCAGCATTCATGACAATGTGCTGTGGAGTGCTGCAGGGGTCAGAGGTCACGTGTGTTGGCAGCGGGCAACTCGCCATGCGTTTCAAATAGAAACAGGACTGCGTGAATGAGCGGCTGAATGCAAGGCTCATTAGTGCAGCAGGAGACTGTACGAAGAGAGTCAGGGATCGTATAGTTGGAGTGAACGCAGCAGAGCCTCGACACATTCCTGCCTCTTTATTAAGGTGATCTGTGACCCAGTCTGTCCCAAAATAGAAAGGTTTTCCATTGTGTGCATGTGTGTGTGCGTGTGTGTGTGAGGTGGTTGATACAGCGCAAATCGGACCTCTTCTCTCCTAAAAAGGAACTTGTTGTCAGTTGAGAGACCACTTAGTGCTCTTACACTCTCGTCAGTGTGTGCAGATAAAAGCGAATCAGACCTGCTGTTTTCTGAAGCCTCCTCCACTGGAGAGGCTGGAGTGGAGAGTTTTGTTTCGCTGCTGGTATGCAGAGAGCGGTCCGGATGCACAAAGACGCCGGTAATAACAGTTAATCTTCGCAAAGGTTCAATGGCTGCCAACTACCCAACCAACCAACCCAGAGCCGGCCCAACAATGGCAAAGAAACATCAAAGTTGGAGGCAGTGCTGAGCGGCCGGTTCCCATCACCTAAATCAACAAGGCCCAGGAAGAAAATAAACATGCAGCATTAACAGATGGAGTCACGCTCAGACTGCTTGTTGGGACCCTAAATTTGCCACAACAGACATTTCCACAATCAATAAACATCCAGTTAGTGAGTGTGTTTCTTGAAGGAGTTCAGCTCAAAAGATTTTATCCTGCAATAACTATTTGTTTTTCATGATTCTGTCAGTTTCAAACATGTACAAAGGAAATTTCATTTTTCCAGATCTTACCAAAAGTCACATAGTGTCAGTTTTCAAAAAGCTGACAACGAATGAATGATTTTAAAAAAAGATTGAGGAATCTCTGAAAATTGACATAAAACGTTTTTTCTTATCAAGAGTTAAACACATTTTTCCTCCAACAGAGATCAAATATTGTTCCGACAGTTTGTACCATCTCTGATGTAGAAGTTCCTGCAACTGTACTGCACTTAGAGTTGACTTTCCTTTTGCCATATTTCCAGCTCATCCTGAATCACCTGTATGAGGTTGAAGACTGAGCAGCTCAGTTTGGGTCTTTTCTTCTAATGTAGGCTAAAGGATGAAAACCTCTGACCAACCAGTCGTCATTTGTTTATTTCCCTTTTCTCACCATATTGATAGAAACATTCCTACTTCCTGCAGAATAGTATTGTTCTTTAATTTCTAAAGGTTCTAAAACTCCTGAACTTGTGAATGCTACTGGGTTTTATTGTTTTTTTATTGTTTATTGTTGTTACCGTAACAACCAATGTTCTGTACACCATTTGTCATGGGGTGAGCTAATTCAGGGGATGATACTATGGGTCTTATCAGAGGGTAAAGGCACAAACAACCTTGGAGATGTATTTTTGTTCAATCCAAAAATCCAAAATGTCCCCTCCAGCAACAGAACATTATTCATCTGAACCTCTCTAACCTATTACAGATTAATTTTATAATGTATCATTGTATATAAAGGTTGGTTTGGTTTAGGCACTAAATGGCTTTATTAGAGTTTTGGTTAAAACAACTACAATAATGTTGCATCATTTTGTGACACTCAAAAACCTGCTAATGTTTTTGTTGTGAGGACAGTTTCATTACATCGTTGGCCATCCAGTAAAGATCTTGGCAGCATCACTCAGCACGAAGGCTGGAATCAGCTATCCTGACTTCCCTTGCACATGTTTGATTTTATAACAGTTATGTTACTGTGAGGTAAATGTAACAAGGCAGCAAGAGCACACCATGAAAAAAAGATGGAGAAAAACAAGAGATCTTGTATTTGCAATGACCGGAGGCTGTTTTTTGGACTCAAATTAGTTTTCAGCACTGTTGTACTGGAAATACAAGGATCTCAGTTTAGTACATATGATGATGAACTGAGGGTGAAGCTCTGTTACTTCTGAGCGCAGCTGATTTTTCATGTGTCTGTATTTTGGTGGAGTCTGTGTTCGACATGTTTGATGTGATAAGCCCCTCCCTCTAACTGCCCTCAGTGAGCTGGACCCATGTGATCGATGGATCACTTCAACACTTTGTAACGTGACAGAAACACCCTGTGGGTTTGACGAGGATCACCAGGGGGCCTGTGAACCTGCTTCCTGACTGTTACCAGCTCCAGAGCCCGACCTCCGACCTCTCTGTCGGGTGGGGGGGGGGGGCGGGGTGGTTGCTGTTTAATGACACCCAGTCTGTTCCATGTGACATGACCTCATTACCTCAATCCATGTATTGATAGAGGGGGGTGGGGATTATCTTGAGGCTGCCGATGTATTTAGTACTACTGCTACTGTTAAAGGCTCAGCTCACACAAATGACAAAATAACATATAGAAGTGGCTGTGAACTTGAAAGACTACATCATGTCTGAATCAAGTAAGAAAACATCTTACACTGTCATAATGAACCTGAAATTTAAAATAATAGACCTAAGCGTTTATTTTAAATTGCATTTAAGGCTGTAACTGTAGCATTATTTATCTGGCAAAGCTAAAACATTATTTGCTGTCAGCATTAGTGGCAAATGGCACAAGTCGCTCAAGCTGAACTGGTCATTTCCCAGCACTTTCTCTGCCATGACTCACTTGCTAACTTCCAAAAATCTTATCTGCTTCTGCGGAGTAAGACTCATGCTCACTGAGTGCAGGGGCAGGGTGCATGCAGGTATGTGTGAACAGGTTGACCTACATGAAGTTGATGCAAGGTGTAGCTGCAGAAAAGCACACAGCTCAAAAGAATACCTCTGTAAAACAAAGGTTAAAAAGGCATTAACAATAAAAAGTGGAAGAGTTTATCTGATGTCCTGGAAAACACCCTGGGAACCTTCCCTCGGGGGATTTGTTGTTGTCCATTTGTTTCTATGGCTGGTGCTTTTTCCCACGTAACATCATCCGAGGGTGGGGCCTGATGAAAAGGATGTTTGCTGCAACTTTTTATCTGACTGTAAAGAAGACATGATCAACGTCTTAACATCAATTTTTATATCTGTGTTAATATCAATAAAAAGATGAAGAGCTGCCCTATGTCTTGCAGAGGTATAGAAAAAATGGGTTCTG